AGATCTCAATATAATCCCTACCGGTCCAAGGCATCAAACCCAGAGCCAAATCCGTGCGATAGTTCCTCAACGCAGCAAAGAAACCAATCTGCGGGATGTCATCAAACTGTCCATCTCTCATGCGAACATGTTTCATAGACATTCCAGGGATCTCCTCGAAAGCTGCCTCAGTAGCAAAGGGAGACTCCGAAGCCGCAGCATAGTAATTCAACTCTGAAACATGTCTCTTGAGCGGTCCAAATGATCCAATATGGATCTTGTAAGGCGTATTGCCAATGAGAAATTCATGAGCTACGGCGAGGATGACGCTTGAATGCTCGCGCTCGCTGTTTGTCAGGAACAGAATGCAGGGCGTGCTGCTTCTGATGTTGATGGCGGTGGTAGTGTCTATCGAGCCGTATCTATATCCGTAGGACATGATGGCGGCTCGGTAGTATGATTTTCTGATGAGTGGTAAGATGGGGGTAAGCTAGGTAGATATGAGAGGGTGAGAAGAAGGAGGAGCAGTGGAAGGAGAAGAAAGTAGCACTTATCTTCCATGATTGGAGCCATGCATCGAAGGAAATTGGCTGCGTGCGTGTCTGTGCAAAGTGACTGTCTGGCGGGGTGAGGAAGTGAATCCAAAAACACGTGTTGACGGCTTGAAGATGAGAGTATGTGAACTGTTGTCCTTCTGTCGTTACTATCCGCCTTTCTGATATGGCGGATGCGAACTCCCTCCGAACTCCCTCGGAAGGCATTTCATGCTGTTCTGGAACGTCTCCGCTTGTGCTTCTGCATGTCTCCGCTTTGCAGTGAACGAAAGGGTCTGGCAGTGAACGAAGGGTCTGCGGCTGGGGATCCGGTCTCTCTCACAGTCAGGAAGAGTGTTTGTGCCGACGGAATTGCTGCATACTGGGGGATGGTTTTCGTTTATGGTCTATGTCATTAACATTATTCTATGTCTCTATATAGAAGGTATATCAATGTGTAAACAGAACGCCGAGATAGTGAAATAGTCATGCGCCAATGCAAATTCAGGACATGGAAGATGAACCTCATCGACCTCTTCATGGAGATCATTATCAACCTCGCTCAGAATAATGCCCTAGCCACCATGCTGTAGCCAGTTAGGCGATTCTCACGTCTCAGATGCCGTTTCCACGCTTACGCCGCGAAGGGTACAGCCCTCTGCTGTAAGGCTCCACGTATAAGCTGCGGGATTTACCAGCATATCGTTCTCTCGCGAACGTACCCAACCGCACTCCTAGTAAGTGCATGCAGTGCACAAAATGGATATATAGCTAGGTGGATTGGCATCAGATCTTTGGTGATGCCCTGGGACATATGGTGTGATATTTCCCCACAGGCAAGTGTGAAGCATGACCTCATGCCTTGGTCAAATTCTTCCCAGGACGGCCGCTGATAGTAGAGTTGCACGTGTTGACTCGGTCAATATCGTACGGATTCTCCTCGTATGTGACTGTACGAGCAAGAGAGTGAGTGGATTTCTTGGAAGCACGCGACGCCCGCCGTTCCATTGCACCCCTAGAAGGCATACTGGAAAGGCTATCACTATCACTATCGTCGCTGATACCATTGTCAGCTCCAGCGGCAGATTCCCCCTTCTCCACGTCAGACTTGGGAGGAGCTGGGCTTTGCTGCGCCGCAGCAGCAAGTCTCTGCATGAACGCCTCTGCCTGGGCAGCATAGAGGCAGCGCTTGCGGATGCGGGCACCATACAGGTAGAAGACGATAGGGAAAGGAAGGCACGCAAGCGACAGGAACGCGGGGATTGAGGAAGCCCAATGGATACCGAGGTTCTCGTACATGTAGGTCGTGAACAACGGGAACGCAAAGCCGAGCAAAGACCGGAGAGCCGAGTTCGCCGCCAGAACCGATGCGGCATAGATCGTGTATGCGTCAATGAGGTAGTTGAAAACACTCAGGAACACCAATACCAAGCCGAACCCGAATGGGGCACCTGCAGCCACAGATGCCATCCAGTGGATGGACGGGTAGTTGGTCCAGGCAAACCAGAAAAGACCAATAGGTAAGGCAATTCCTCCAAGGATACTTGGGGGCAGGCGAACCTCGGGAGGCAGACGGCCATTGGCTTGTTGGCACTTCTTCGCGTAATTCAGATTGTCGGGAATAGTGAGAGCAACTGCAATCACCATTCCGACTAGGATACCCAAGAAGGCCAAGCCTCCAATACCCTCACTCCAACCGCGTGCCTCCTGAAAGACGATAGGATAAGCTGCAAACAGCATGTAAAGCGTTCCATAGATGATGGCCATGTAGATACAGAGAAGCAGCACAATGGGTTCTCTGAAGAGCATGAGCCAGGGCCGTGACAGGGCGGTCTTCAATGCTTGGCCTAGAGACACCTTGCCTCTCTCCATATCCAGTTTACTGCGGTAGACCTTGCCACTCAATTCAGACAGCTTTTCAGCCCGTCGGCGCAAGAGAACTGGTGCATATGTCTCCGGCAGGAAGAAGATAAGGCATAACCACATCACGCCGGAAAAGGCTGCCAGGAATCCTTCCACCCAGCGCCAGCCTGCTCCAGCGCCAAGGAAGCCACCGATGACGGGGCCAATAGTAGGTCCGCAAAGAGGTGCTGCAGCGAAGAGACTGATAGCGATACCACGTTTGGCAGCGGGAAACAAGTCTGCAATCGTTCCGCCCGCGTTGCCAAACGGTGAGGATCCGAAGAATCCGGCCAGGAAGCGAAGTATGACCAGCGTTTGAATGTTCTTTGAACCTGCAGCCCCTGCATTGAAAGCTGTGAGAAGCGCAAAGGTCACTGAGAAAACATTACGGCGTCCGAACACCTCGCTCATCGGAGCCCATAGTAGCGGGCCAAAGGCGAAGCCCAAAACGAATAGCGAGATACCGAGGATGGCGACCTCTTCCTCACATTGAAACTCTATAACAACTTGACTTATACTTCCCGAGTATGCTGATGATACCAGGGCGACAGTAAGAGTCACGAAGGAAACTAGAATAGTATACAGCCATTTTGAGAGGTTACCAAAAGCCATAGGGTTTCGAGGATCATTAGGAAGCCAGGTGACGACATAGGGCGATTCTTCTGTCCCTAACCCTTCGTAGTTAAAATCGATGATCTCCGGGGTGACGACTTTTTGGTCGAAGACAAGGCGCCAATAGGGGATCTTCGAGGGCCGAGGAGCGCCGCCATTGGCGACAGTGCCTGCCATGCCCATAGTGCCCGTTAATTAAGGTTCAGCACAACGGCTATTTGCAGAATGGTGGCTGGGTGGTATGGAGATGACACAACGTAGAAATGTCTCTCAACCTTCTCAAGCAACTGCTAAACTGAGGAAAGAAATGACGAAAAGACAAATAAATGTAAGACAACAAACATGCCCTGAAATCAAACCGGCACGACTTTTCCGATTACAATTTCTTCATTCCTCCGGTTACTCGGCAGGGGCGATAGGCCTCAGCGAATCAGGAGTCGGAATGTGTTCTGGGAGCCGAGGTTGCTTCAGAATTTGCTGTGCCTGTCTTATCTCCGCCCAATATCCGCTGTTCCAGATTCTGGTCCTTCTCGTTGCTGCGGCTGCCTGACGAATTGTTTGTTCTGTTCGAGAAAACGATAAGGCCACATCTTGGAGAGCTTTATTGGTGAAAGATCAGGATCAGGTTGGCTGCGTTGAAGTATTGCTTCGGCTGCGTCCCTTATGCGTTTAGCAGTTAGAGGAACGCCAGTCCGATTTAGAGAGTCGGGATCATCAAAGAGGGAGTCATACTGAGCCTCAGTAAACTTCAAATTCGCGGGGTGACGATTCGATCTGGATGGCAATTCGTGAACTCTTCGTCGCAAGCGATAATAGCTAAGCCCAAACTCTCTTGCAGCCTTCCGTATGGATACAGGGTTTTCGGTGTCCTTTTTCTCATAGTAGTTATCCGTACGTAGCCTCTTTGTATTAGTCTTCCTGGCTCTTGTAGACAGTCGGCATGGTTCTTTGGTATATTTCGCGAATATGCGGTGGTGCGCTGAGCTGTGGTTCACCAAATATGTCAGTTGTGGGGCGCACGCGGCAACAAGGAATGAATTAGACGTTATAGACAATAATACAATATCTCTCACATTACCTGGACATAAAGTCGATGTGTGTGATTGAATCCTGGGTCGGAATTATATTCCTGTCCGACATGTAGTACCAATGGTGCACTCCCCCACCTGAGTTCTCTTGATTCCTGCAATCCTGTTTTCCCAAAGTAGTAAGTACAACATTTACTTCCAGTGTTTACATCCTTCAGAGGAGACTTATATGCTCCATTACTTGGCACAAATTAAAGACATTAATAATTAGTGCTAAGTTAGTAGCTAGCAATGTTGACCATGGCAGTCATACTCTGACCACAGGGTAGGTTTATTGACATAAAAGTAGTATGGCTTACGACTCATTTAATATATATTCAATTTGAAGGCTGGCTGAGTACCATATAGATAAATTCATTGCTCCCTTCAGCGAAAGTTGTATAGATGTCGATCATCTCATTAAAATGGGTTACATTTTTTCTTTCAAATATAGATTACATATCTCGAGTGTCCGAATGATTAATAGAACAAGATTGCAGGGATTTGAAAGAACTCAGGTGGGGGCGCTACGCGCTCCCAGGCTACTAGGAGGTATTGAAATTGACCAATCGGCAAAATTTCTTGGTATGCCTAGCCGCTTAGCTTAGGCTCTGCGATAAAGATTAGTAGTAGAGGTTGGAGACACAGAAGATAAAGGTTGTATATGAATTGCTTGCGCATGCAACTAATCATGACATCATAAGTGGTCCGGATCGAGAGAATGTATAAAATCCAGAGGTAAGTTAACATCAAAGGGGAGTCCCATTTTCGCGTGCGCCCTATGAAGGAAGTCAAAAAGCAAGGGTTCGAATGTCAACTGACAAGTACATGCACATGACCATGGTTACCTACGGAGTAGTCGGCTCGGACACAGGACCTTGGCATTGCTTTTGAATGCATACCCTGCAAAAGAAACGCTATAGACAAAAGACATACAAACATGCGCGTAGACCGAGATTTCGGCCTCCATATCACTGACATGTCTATCCGTGAAAACCGCTATCTGAGAGTCGGGGTTATAACTACAGCTTTATAATAATTCTGCTGTTCCTCCTGTGACTTTTCCAGGGTCCGGAGTAAGCGAACAGCGCGTATATGTAATTCTAGCCATCTGTTAGTGTGCGAATGTAAACAAGAGAACCAGAGACCACCATACCTTCAATCAACAATTCATAGCTCGTGAATTGGTCGTCGTCGCGATGGATGAGAATTGGCACATTTTGATTCATTAGCGGTTTTGCCTTGACCCGTACTTTGATCCCGACACTCTTGCTCTGATCAACCCATAGCATTTGCGAAGGCTCTGTACCATCTGGTACGAATTCACGAATTCGCTTCTCTTCGTCTCTCAGCCAGTCGCGGAATACCCTGATTACCCCGTCCTCGACATTGTGTGCACTCAGGAGCAGATTTGTACCCGGCATGACCTTCACGATATTTACGACCACACATAACTGAGAAAAGTTTTCAGAGTTATCGAGGTTGATAGGGCGCGTGACAACCAAGTTGTCTCGGTCGGGGTCTTGCTCATCGTCTACCAAAATCAGAGACCTCGAGTCGTGATCGCTGTATCTGGGAACAGGGGCGCATACCTCTTAGGGGTACTAGCCTTGTTCCGCTCGATCTTTCTTCTACCGCGACTTCAGGGCGGAACCGAGCATACACCGAACTCAGTCTTCCCAGTTGCTGGGCCGTGTCGGGATTCTCATAAAGCGAACCACTCCTCCCGTTAAGTTGATCTAAACCATCGGTGTCAAGGTATGTGCAGAATACATGAGGCACCTTAAGCTTTTCGCTCGGGTGAAAGCATTCTAGGATGAGTTTATAGTCATGCAAAGGAGCGCCGATGAGCAGACGATAATGTAGGATCCGCAGGACGAGGGCGTGGAAGCGGCGGGAGACTGTCGCCCAAGAGATGAGGGATCGTGTCGAGAAGGAGGATAGAATCTGAGCGAGGACCTGAAATAACCATAGAAGCATCAGCAAGACATCTTTCCAATGATTGGAGATCGCATTATCGCACTTCGTTGGGAAGGGAGTAGAGGTGGAGCTTTGAATGGCCGTCGTCCATGATCTGATCAACTGCGGGGAATATGTGTGAATCTCATATCTTCGCTCAAGCAACAAATGAACAGAATACGGTTCATACACAGCAGCAACAGCAGTTCAGTGGATCCCAACTTGGAGGGAAGTGACGTGACAAGGGTCAGATGATGCCAGCGCGAGCTTCTCCGGGGATGTGGAGGTTCGGTGATAACGGGCGATAAGGCTAGCCAGTTGCCCCTCGTTTCCCCTGACGTCAAACAAATCGGCCCGAACGATGTCTGGAATCGGGTAGCCGCGGGGAGAAAGAAAAGAAACGAGAGTCATTTCTCGGCCCACCACCGCGTTGGTTTTAGTCAATAGTGGAGTATGCTTTATGTCCAATTCAACCGGTAGACATGCTGTACAGGTCGGTTGATTTATGAAATCTTGTTATAAAATGATCTATAAAAATGCAAGAATCCAAAGACATGACCTGATACTTGAAACACACGGATAAAAGATTGTAGCAGACAGGCACCATCATGTTTGCAGTTGCAGTTGCAGCAGCAAGAAAAGGGTCCAGGGCCTCCCCATGAATTTACCCGAGCAGCCGACCGGATGGCAGCTTTTTACCCCGTGCTGGTTCGGTGCCGAATCGCCATAATTTCCGGAGACCCCGCGACTAAGCCCCGCCGCCAGGGCCATCAGCCAACTTTTCTTTTCACGCAGTTTCTTCACTCTTCTTCTTCTCTTCCTTTTCCCTTTCCTCTTGTAACAACGCTGCATCTTACTTGCATAGACTATATACATTATCTCAACAATGGTTGAAAACGTCCTGGACGATATCTCTCATCGGAGATTCAATCCTCTTCGAGGATCCTACATTCTGGTCTCCCCGCATCGGACCAAGCGCCCCTGGCAGTAAGTTGGCCTGCTTCTGTCCAGCAGAAATAGACATGGACCCATTCAGAGAGGAGCAGTTGAGCTAAATGCTGCGACCAGAGGACAGCAGGAGAGCCCCTCTAAAACTACCTTGCCAACCTACGACCCCGCTTGCTATCTCTGCCCCGGAAACAAGCGCGCGCAGGGCGACACCAACCCCAAGTATGAGAAAACATTCGTCTTCGTAAACGACTATAGTGCGGTCAAGGAAGAACAAGCGCCGTATACCCCTGAAGGTGGCGAGGGTATGTTTGACTTGTAATCTCAGGCTTAGCGAATGTATTACTAACAAAATCGGGGACCAGACCTTGAATCATTCTTCCTCAAGGCAGAGCCTGTCACCGGTAAATGCTACGTGCTTACCTTCTCTGCGGCCCACAATCTCACCTTGGCCGATCTTTCGCCTGCCGAGATTGCGCCTGTCATTGACGCTTGGACTGAGATCTACACTGCCCATTTGTCCCCAAAGTCGCCATTGGCTGCTGTGGCTCCAGCGACCACTCTGCCTCCTAACTCGCCGACTGCTAGCTTGACCAAGCCTAAGGAGCAGTATCGCTACATGCAGATCTTCGAGAACAAGGGTGCCGCCATGGGGTGCTCAAACCCTCACCCTCACGGTCAGGTCTGGACTACCAGCTCTTTGCCCGAAGAACCGGCTATGGAACTCGAGCAGCTGAAGAAGTACCGTCGGGAGAATGGTGGCAAGCACATGTTGGAAGCTTATGCTGCTCTTGAGAGCCGGAAACAGGAACGCGTGGTATTTGAGAACGATGCCTTCCTAGTTGTCTGCCCCTGGTGGGCTGTCTGGCCTTTCGAGACCATGATTGTCAGCAAGACCCACAAGCGCGCTCTGGTCGACCTAAATAGCAGCGAAAAGGTGCAGTTGGCGGAAGCCATTGCCGAAGTCACCAGACGGTACGACAACCTGTTCGAAACGCACTTCCCGTACAGCATGGGTATCCACCAGGCACCACTTGACGGAACCGAGGAGGAAATCGAGTCGTCATATCTTCACCTTCACTTCTATCCCCCGCTATTGCGCAGCGCCACTGTGCGCAAGTTCTTGGTCGGGTGAGTGGTTTTCTAGCTATCACGTTACGATAAAGGTTTGCTAATGAGTCATAGGTATGAAATGATGGGCGAGCCCCAGCGTGACATTACACCCGAGCAAGCGGCCGCGAGGTTGCGAGGCTGCGGAGGAGAGCTCTACAGGAAGAAGATGGATTAAGAACAGACAATATTGGCTTAGTCTGGATTGTATGTTGTATACCTATGTGTTCTGACAGCAATGAATACCTGCGTTCGTGGGTCCATCGGACCACTCCCGGCCGGCTTCTGTGTTTCGGATCTGAATCGACTCCTGTCATACCCCTGCGAGAAAGGGAGCTAATCGGATATGCGTGTCTCAATCACCCACGCGCCATTAATGACTGGAACCCTTACTCCAGCTCAGCCTCTATCCCTTGCCAGCTCCTGCGTCATCATGATCATCCTTTTCGGTTCCCCACAGCTCAGCTACATACTCCGTAGCATAACTCCGACCAGTGATCTGCTATGGAGCGGCTGAGCTGTGCGCTCGGCGTAACTTTACCTGTCTAGTATTAACCTTAGAGGTGAAACATGGTTCACCTCTAAGAGCATTGAATGAATCGCCCAATCTCGATTTACGAACTTTGTTTGGCCTTCTACATGCGCTGGCATTGGCACATGAGGGACTGTCAGCCAGAACCGACATTTTACATCATCATCATCATCATCATCATCATCATCATCATCATCATCATCATACGTAGAATAAGCGAACTAGACCCCGTGCCTTGACCGATAATAGATCTTCACAAATATTACTTTGCCTTTTCATTACATTATTGATATGATCATAACCTAGCCGATCCATAGCTTGTCCCTGCGCTAAGGAATAGAACATGCATCGAAAAGCAACCAGCCGCAAATCCGGCAAATTATAAATGAGATCCAGCCCAACCTAAGCAGCCAGATACGCCTCCCTCTGCGTCAACATCCAAGCCAGCGTGGACGAAGCAACAATCAAAGGGCTAACGAAACGACCCTTAAGCTGCGCACTACCGAAGCCCAACCACTCGCCGACAAAGTGTGCCAGGGCAATGCCAAAAGTCCAAAGCGCCAGATCATAGACAGCCGGGTTGTTGAGGTTGTAGGCGGCGTAAATGCGGACTACGGAGGAAAGAAAAGTCCATGTGCCGAAAGTCCGAGAAGAGAGGGGGTTGGTGTGCGGGCGACCTTCAGCAGTTTTTCCGTTGTAGAGATCTGCGGCATAGGACTCCGATCGGTAGGCTTGGATGCTGTTTGCGGCGGAGACGACGGAGACCTGAATGGAGAAAAGTGGTCAGGTTAACATGGGGTCGGTCCGGGGAACGGAAGTGTAGTGTAAACAAATGGGGGTTGTTACCAAGAAGAGCCATTTGGGCAGCAGACCCTCGAAGGGGGGAAGGTAGGAGAGAAGAGCGGCCATGGTTACTATGCGAAGTTGTACTCCGGAGAGTTTGACAGAATTGGCTGCAGAGAGATAGAGTTGTGGAGGATCAATTGGTTGGGAAAGACTGATAATTGCGATGAGGATATTGCTTCTTTGGAGTGGCCGAGGTCTGTCCGCTTGGGGGGTCTTGGCACCGCTCATCCCCAACCATTATTCTGCCTTTATGATTGCTGCCGCATCTCCGTCCGTCTCCGGATTCTTTCTGCAGTCAGCTTCCATCCCCACAATCTTCAATCGCCACGGGTTGAACAACAAGCAATCATGGAGTTTCTGACCAAGCATCTGGACTGTCTGTCCAACTTCCAGTTGAACCTGCAGCCTGGCTGGCAGACCGTGGGCGCCTCGGCTCTTCTCGCCGCTGGCAGCTTGTTCGTCGTCTCTCGCGCACTCGTTTTCGTCAGGGTCCTCTTGAGCTTGTTTGTGCTCCCTGGCAAGCCTGTATGTTGTCCTTCCAAATATCAATTGGAGAATATGTCGCTGACTTTGATTCTTCCAGCTCCGCTCCTTCGGCCCTAAGGGCAGCTGGGCCGTGGTCACAGGTGCCTCCGATGGACTCGGCAAGGAATTCGCTCTTCAGCTCGCCCGCGCTGACTTCAACATCCTCCTCGTTTCCCGTACCGCTTCCAAGCTTGATACCCTTTCCAATGAGATCACATCCAAGTTCCCCTCCGTGCAGACCAAGACCCTGGCGATGGACTTCGCCCGCAACGACGACAGCGACTACGAGAAGCTGAAGGAGCTGGTGGACGGATTGGACGTGTCCGTTCTGGTCAACAATGTTGGAAAGAGTCACAGCATCCCTACTCCCTTCGCTCTGACCCCCGAGGATGAGATGACTGATATCGTGACCATCAACTGCCTGGGTACCTTGCGGGCAACCCAGCTGGTTGTTCCGGGTATGATGCAGCGCAAGCGCGGATTGGTCCTGACTATGGGCTCGTTCGGTGGACTTCTCCCTACCCCTCTTCTGGCTACCTACTCCGGCAGCAAGGCTTTCCTGCAGCAATGGTCCACTTCCCTTGGTTCGGAGCTCGAGCCCTACGGAATTACTGTCGAGTTGGTCCAGGCCTACCTTATTACCTCTGCTATGTCCAAGATCCGCCGGACTAGTGCTACGATCCCCGACCCCCGCTCATTCGTGAAGTCGGTCCTGACTAAGATTGGCCGCAATGGCGGATCTCCCACGTACGCGTACAGCTCTTCCCCCTACTGGAGCCACGGATTGATGGCCTGGTTCTTGACCTGCGTCACCGGTACCATGGGCAAGATTGTCGTTGGCCAGAACAAAAGCATGCACGAGTCTATTCGGAAGCGTGCTCTGCGCAAGGCCGAGCGCGAGAAGGGCAAGAAGAGCACCTAAGGTGCTTGGCAGTTGCTTCTAGATGATGACTCACGTGCGTTTGCCGATCAACCTGGGGTAAGGGGGAGAGATAAAGAAAGGAACAAAAATGGAAGTATGGAGAAGAACGAGCCGGTGGGGGAGAGTGTCTGTGTGTGAACTGAACCCTGAGCTGAATCTGAATCCACAGGGGGACGTGTGGCGAACGAAGAGTCTCGGAGTTCGGTGAAAGGTGCATGCAGCTATGGAGCCAGATCGAAGACCGTCCAGATAGGAGCGGGCCGCATCTTATCTTCAACGGAGGGCACAGGTCCGGATGGACCTCACCTTTTACAAAGTACTCTACTAACCTACACGTGGTATGTGGTGTCTGTCGACAGGGCCAATCAAACCTCCGACCAGGGGGTTGGTGACTACGCAATCCATGATCGACAGCACCAAAGATGATACGATATACTATGTTTAGCAGAAACAGATAGCATAAAGTACGGATTAATCTAATTAATGTGGAAGGGGAAGATCCTCGCTTCGCAGTTACCTCGGTGCTCTTTATTCTACGATCTAAGGTATAGTCTCCGCTAAATCTGTCAAATATGCGCACTACAGAGCATGATCCAGTGCAAAGCAATGCAATGCAGTGCAGATATGCAAATATCCACCGCGATCTCGGAGTTCGGAATCTGCACATCCCAAAGCATAACTGACCTGAACTCAATCGGGCTGGACCAGATGGATGGGGGGCCATCCGTCCTAATCTTGGGACCACCGTCGGTGAATAAATCTTGTGTCTGTGTCTGTGTCTGTGTCTCGGCTCTCTCTTTGATGACTTGCAGATAAGGGTGAAGAGGGACCCTGTGGGACTGCGACTGTGCTACACTACCGAACTGAGGAGAGTTCCCTGCATGGATAGTGCAGTGCTACTAGTAAGTAGGTAAGTTTCTTCTCTCGGAGAATAGAATGGCGTGCGAGAAAACCTCCGTAGGGGGAGGAGTCTCGGAGAGAAGAGGAGTCTTATATATAGAACAGCTTAGGTGGTCCTGGAACGTGGTACAGACGATCAGATAGATAGTAGATCACCTTCCACTTCTGCTTTGAATACATAGTATCTATTGAAGCTTAGCCAGGCACGTTGACCGTCAAGACCAGTAGTCTAGTTAGTAGTTCCAAGGTTCTTGGTGACAAGTCCGTAGATAGAAGCAGTCAAAAAGTGAGCAGAAGACGAAGAGAGAGAGAAAAGTCGAATGATATCATGATCCTCAGCTTGCGGCTCTCTTTGCCAAGTGCTTAGCTTAGTAGGGTAGTCTAACTGACATCTACCCATACAATAATACCAACCCAACATAACATCCATTCCACATACACCACACCACATGACACAATCCCTCCATTCATCCATCCTCATGACCCTATTCAAGCTTCCCACTATCACCACCACCGCCACCACCAGCAAGAAAGAACAACACCTAGCCCTGGCAACGTCCCATCGCACCGTCACCTCAAAACTCTTCACAGCACTTCCTCACTACCCTGCCTAATCCTCTTACTAATAACCCAAACCCACCCCCCTCTCCCCTCTCATAGGCCAATTCCACCCAAAGATTCCATGCATGGGTCGACCCCTGTTCCTGAAAAATCTAGACCCTAGCAAGGAAAAAAAAAAGAAGAGCTGGTACGACTTACGGTGGCCACTACTCTCGTTCCCAATCCAGCAGCAGCTCCCGAAGCAGCATCATGCAGCAGGAAAAACAACCTACCCGCCGTCACACAACATATTGCAACATCCCATCCCATCCCGCTGTGGCTGAAAGTATGTAGTACTACTATTATGGTTTTAAATTCGCGGGTGTACTCTTTTCCATTGTTAGTTTCTTGCTGTTGGAGAGAAGTAGGTAGGTACGTGGTAGATCTAGGATGAGGCAATTACGTCAGGTGTAGTGTGTTGTCTGAGGTGGTGAAACGCTGGCTGGTGGAACCTCTACCTACGCTGTTTACTTACCTTTCTTGGGAGGGAATAGTTTTTTTTTTCCTTCTTCTTCGGTGGCTTTGTTGAGTAGATAGTGGGACGGACGGGATGGGTCGAAGAGACTTTTTTTTTTTATATTTTTTTCTGGTTAGGTTAATTTAGGTTAGGTTTGGGTATCGACCGGGTTGTTTGGTTGGTTGGCTTTGTCTCGGGCTCGGTGAGTGGGTTGCGTGATGCTCTTTGTGTCTCTCGCTTTCGGGATACTACGTAGGCTGAATGAGCCGGGATTGTGTGGTCGGGTTGCATTGTTACTCTAGTTATTGTTTTTATACTTTACTGTGGGAGTGCATATAATGCTCTTCTTACGTCCTGGCGATGTTCCTGATGTTCTATCTGGGTTTACAATGTGAGCCTGAGGGGAGACAGCAAGCGACGTCTCTCTCTTGCGGCATTACGGCATGCCGAACCCGACCTAACGGAGGAGAGTGAAACCTCACCGGAAGCCGAAAAGGTCATCGATTGCAGGCCGGTCAAGTTCCGACCGAATCCATGGTAAGGTAGGGAGATCTCTGATAGGCTGGGTGGTTCGAGTCAGGCTATATGAGCTCCAGCTGAAGCTGGACCTGAGCACCGACGTGCACGAGGGGTTGTGGTTGGATGAAAATTTTCGCTGGTGGAGAGGATCAGCCAACGCTAAACAGAAGATCCACAGGCCCGGTGAGCTCCAAACGGGAAGGGACGAGAAGTGGTGCGTAGTTAGCGTGAGATATCGGCACACCGAAGGCAGTTGGATGGACAGGCATCCCGAGACCGAGACGGTCGGCGGTGGCCGAAGTGCTCGGGATGGACGACGGTGAGACTGGAAGTGGTCTCGGTGAGCAGGGTTGGCCGCTTAGGTGTCATGTACTTATCAGCGACGGCCGCTGCTTATGATGATATTTAGATTGATGGTTAAAACTTCTCCCTCTTGCATCTGCATTGTCGGAGGAGATTATACTTCCTACCCTCCTTCATTTTTTCCCCCTTCCCTTTGCCCGCTGACGGTCGGGCAAAAAGTGAGAAAGCATGTGTTTGTGAGAGTTCGGGATCGGCCAAGAGCCAAGAGGGGATTATCTCAACGCATGCAGAGTCAAAATTAGAATTTTTAAAAGAAAAAATTTCTTTCGTGGTTGGACCCACTTGGCGCCCGGTGATCTCCCTCGTTTGGGCCTGAGATTGCGTCGGAACCGGCAACTTTACTACGACTGAGCTCTTTTCTCGGTGGCTCAGGGGCTGATCTGAAGGAAGGAAGAGGAAAAATTTTTCCTGCTGAATTTGACAGACAGGTAATGGAAACGAAGAAGATTCCAGGAACGTAGTGGATCATTAATGAATGCTCGTCAACAATGCTTTGTTCAGCAGGCGGGCTGAGGTTCCAGGAGGGTTCTGACTAAGGTTGTTGCATGGCTGCGGGAGGCAGGGCGATAGTAATATTAGACCGCGTTAATATTATGCAGGCGTGGCTTTTCTTACTGCACCCGGCCATCACTTGAATCAAGGGAGGGTGGAGATCAGCCCATGTCGCCCCCCTCCTTCCAAACAAACAATCCATTCATTCATTTCGTCAAGATACTTCCCTTCCCTTCCATTCTGTGACACGGAATGGCCGGAGACAGCGATGTTTTAGCCACTGGGATTGCAGTATGTGATGGTCTCGGGTAACGTCAACATGTCAATAAGATCCATGATGCAAACCGTTATGGTTGTACGTAAATTGTTTGTCTCGTGACGGGAATTTGGTCTGCCAACCCGACAACAGCCGCATCATCATAATTAATGTTTTAGATTATGATTCGGTAGAAGGAGGACTCGGTACCATTCATCCATCCATCATCGTCATCATCAGCAACAGCCATTATGATCAAGATGAAAACCTTTTCTTCAGGATCAGTGTCACGGTCACACTGTGGCAATACAGTCTGTGTAGCCGATCTGGAGACTTTCTACTCCGTACAAGGATAGAAGATATCATGATGGACGACAGCATCAACATCACCATCATCATCACAATGAAGCTGCATACAAGGAGTATAGTACGTAGTTAGTATGTATGGATGGATGGATGTATGTATTTACGGGGTATACAGAATGTGTAGAAGAATCAGTCAGAATTCGGAAGGCACGACTCAAGAATCTACCGAAAGAGGCAAGAATGTTGGTAACAGAATAACAGCAAAGCAAAAGCAGGTGATGCCCTCGTGACCTGCCCGCATCCATCTTCAATTCCTCCCGTCAGGAACTCCAGCTTCCATCTATCCACTCCATTCCTTCCTTAGCGTTACTCCATCCAATCTCCAGTCTTCTCTCCAGCTCGGTTCGTCTCCATCCGCTTTTTCTCCGCTGGCGAAAACGGATTCCCCCCGATTCAGGTACTCACCGTCCACATCTCCCCGTTTGTCGTAGCCTGCTCCGGCTCTCTCCAGACACTCTCTCCACTCTCTCCCCACTCCAAGACACGCTCTCGAAGCATCCAATGAACTCTCCGCCCCCTAGCTTCCGAATCTCCCACCTCGTTCGCCTGTCTTCGGGCCCTTGAGATCTGGGCCCCCGTTTTTTCTTGCCATGGTCCTACCCCGAGGATGGGGTCCCTCCAATCCCTGGGATGGAGGCGAATTGCCGACGGATGGAGCGTCAAATTCTTTCACTTCCATTTTAGTGGCATTCACTCGTTGACGCCGTCATACTTACCGATTTCATCCTTGTGTGCGGCCCTCTTCTCCCCCCCCTCTCCCCTCCTCTCCCCCTCTGCCCGGACCCCATATATATCCCTCCATCTCCCCCGGGTCTGTCAGCCCTTTGGATGTCTTTCACTTCCATCAATCTTTTCTTTTTCCCATCTTCCCATCCCTGGCAGAGGATTCCGCTTTGAATGAATCCATCGGCAACATGGGTGTCTCTAATATGATGTCCCGCTTCAAGCCTCAGGCGGACCACTCTGAGTCCTCCACGGAGGCTCCTACTCCTGCTCGCTCCAACTCCGCCGTCGAGAAGGACCATGTCATGCTCGATGACAGTCCCG